ATTCTTTTCTTGTATAATGTTTTCAAGACTCATCCATGCTTTTGCATGTATCAGCACTTCATTCCTTTTTATGCTTCAATAATATTCCTTTGTATGGGCATACCACATCTTATTTATCTACTCATCAGTTGATGAACATTTGGGTTGTTTCTACTTTGTGGTTATATGAATAATGCTGTTGTGAAAATATGTATTCAAACTTTTGTGTGGAGATATCTTCTTATTTCTCCTGAGTATATACATATGAGTACATACTTGGAAAGCATATACTTGGAATTGTTGACTTATATGGAAATTGTATGTTTAACTGTTTGGGGAACTGCCAAACTGTTTTCTGAAGAGGGTACAGCATTTTAGATTTCCACCAGCAGTGCACAAGGAATTCCAACCAATTTCTCCACATCTTCATCAATATTTATTATCTGTTGTTTTGGTTATAATCACTCTAGTTGGTGTGAAGTGATATCTTACTGTATTTTGATTTGCCTTTCCTTTATGACTAATGATATTGGGTGCCTTTTCACATACTTATTGCTATTTTTATGTTTCTATTGCAGAAATGCCAAATCAGGTTCTTTACCCATTTTTAGACTAAAAAAAATATTTAGTTGTATACTTTTGTATATTCTCATATAAAAATGTATAACATTGATGTATATAGTAAAACATATACTGATGATATAAATACCTTATCAAGAATGTGATTTGAAATTTTTTTTCTCCAGTTCTGTGAACTTTCTAATTTTTTTGATGGTGCCCTTTAAAGCACAGAAGTTTTCAGTTTTGATAAATCCAATTTAATTTTCCCTTTTTTTTGCTCTCCATGTGCTCTCCATGTCTTGTATTAAAAATACAACTCTTTTAAGATGTATTGATAATTAAAAATGAGTAAATTTATGTGAAAATTCTGAGGTAGTATGATCATGGATAAAAAGTAGTTTTTAAAGTGATAAAATAATTTGTAATATTTTATGCTTTCTTTTAGAGTCACTTTTTCATGTTTCATTTAGGATTCTTGTCCTTTTATGAGGGGAAGAATTATACGAATTACCATTTATTCAAATATTTACTACTATATATTATTTTTGTGGTTCCTGTTTGGACAATTAACATTACTGTTAAATTATCTCAATGATACTTTGTGTCATTTATTGTTTTTCTAACTTCTTATTTTTTCAAACAAAGTAAAAAGAAGATAATTGACATCATACAAAACTATAGTACCCAAACCTAACTCAAAATTAAAATTTAAGATTTACCTATTAGTTAATAATTGTTACTTAATTATTATTTAATAATCATATTATTATTTCATTTGGCTGTGATGGGTCTTTGTTGCTTCATGGGGGCTTTCTCTGGTTGTGGTGAGTGGGGACCACTTTCTCATTGTGGTAGCTTCTCTTGCTGAAGAGCGTGGGGTCTAGCTATGCGGGCTTCAGCAGTTGTGGCTCATGAGCTCTAGAGAGCAGGATCAGTAATCGTGGGGCATGGGCTCAGCTGCTCCACGGCATGTGGGATCTTCCCGGACCAGCAATCAAACCAGTGTCCCTTGCATTGTAAGGCAGATTCTTAACCACTGGCCCACCAAAGAAGTTGAAAATTTGTTTTAATAAAAAGATGTGTAGCATGTTTTAAGTGAAAGTGATAGAACTGCCAAATGTGTTTACTACATTTCCATTTTTGTAAAAAGATTATATAGATATTTGCTTGGAAATAAAGTCTAGATGGATGTAAGAAGAAAATTAATAGTCATAGGTTTCATGTATTGAGGAAATTTTTTTGGTCTACTTTGCTCTCTAAACATATGCTATAAAAATAAAGAGGAAAATACCATCTAACCTTTTCCATGAATATTTAAAATTAAATGTTTTACAAAATTACAACTGTATTCAATAATGTCTTGTGTATGTGCTCAGTTGCTCAGCTGTGTCTGACTCTTTGCAACCCCATGAACTGTAGACTTCCAGGCTCCTCTGTCCATGGAATTTCCCAAGCAAGAATACTGGAGTGGGTTGCCATTTCCTCCTCCAGTGGATCTTCCCCACCCAGGGATCAAATCAGAGTTTCTTGCATCTCCTGCATTGGCAGGCGGATTCTTTATCACTGCGCCACCTGAGAAGGCCAAATGTCTTATATCATGTTATTACCCTGCTTTTGTTTACTTTGTGTAATATCATGACATTGAATATTTGTACTGCTTGAATTATAATTCAGGGGTCAGAGTCTCTTTATTTAGCTGTTTCCCTAGTTTGAATGCCATGGTTTTTGTTCACAATTTTTCATCACCTAAAAAAAACTGTGATTAGCATTTTGATAGATAAATTATTGTCTGCATGTCTGATTATTTCCATAGGAGAGATTTATAAAGTAAGGGGCTACTGGGTCAAAAGATATGACTATTTTAGGATGTTTTGTTCAATAAATTCCTTTGATGATATATTGGTATGTGAAAGTACAATACTTTAAAACAACTTTATTATGCTACCTGTTCCATGAGAATCTTTCTTAGCCATTTACTTATTTATTTTCTCATTCTCTTTGTGGCAACACTTTAGAAAGCCTTATAGAACCACAGAGAGGCAGATTTCTATCACCCATAACAAAAAATCTAGGATAATTTCTTCTATCTCCACTCATATGCTAGGAGTTTCAACATCCTTTGGTGAGTTAATCTTTCCAGTTTCAACAACATGAAGCTACATAAATTTTAAAAGACTACAGCATAACCTCAAATGGCTCAGTGATAAATCTGCTGGCCAATGTAGGAGACAGAAGATGCAGGTTTGATCCCTGGGGTGGGAAGATCCCCTGGAGGAGGAAATGGCAACCCACTCCAGTATTCTTGCCTGGAGAATCCCATGGACAAAAGAGCCGCATGGGGTTGCAAAGAGGTGGACACGACTGAGTGACTGAGCACGCACGCACAGCATAACCATTCCTGCAGGAACCATGTGTTTACCCGACAATGCATATTTAAAATCTTCACATTTTCAAGGGGTGTAAAGCTTGACCAAATTTTACAGACATCAAATGATCCATTATAAGTCTTTGGTATTTTTGTTAATCTATTTTGAGTTGATTTTGCTACTTATTCCAACAGCTTTTACTGAATTCCCACGCAGATCCATGAGGTCAGTGGATATCTCTCTCACTCACCAATATAGCCCTAACACATAACCCAAGACATATTGGACAATAAATACTTGGTTTAGCTAACATAACAATATGTATTTGTTGAATGGGTGTGTTTCTTCCCTCACTGATTTTAAACAACTTTAAAAATCATATTTGAAACACAGTAATTCATTGCTGATCTTGGAGGTGGCTTTCCAAAAATACTCCTCACTGTTTGCAAGGCAAATAAAGGTGTAGAAAATAGGGAGTAGGGATGGGAAGACAAAGAAAATTGCTAACAAATAAAAATTGAGGGGGCATGTACTTTCAAAATAAACCGGACTCACTGGCTTTAAAGATCTTTTCAAGCAGAAAAGCTTTTTTTCTGAATCACCTTTTCCATTTTTTTTCAGAAAATATCACCACAACATTATCTATTAGGTACAATCTCCTACAAATGCTATACTGTACTTATACAGACTGTACCTTACCAGACTTGAAATTTAATTATTTTTGCTTTTGTATTCTTGATTCATTTTCTGAATCATGTCTGGAACTAAAACAGTATAGATTTATTCAGAATTATTACATTTAGTGGAATACTTAGGATCTATGGCCAGATCTATATGACCCAAAGGATAGTTTATTCTTGGTCAATTAGAAGACAAACATTTACTGATTAGTATATCAGAAATACTGTTCATTCTTCCATTCACTATTAGTTCAGGCTACCACAGGCGTAAACCCGAGCTGTAACTTTGTTTCTATTCAATGATACAAAAGTGTGTCCTTCACATGTTTTTACCTTTGTTCATTGTTTTTTGCTTTCTTAACGATAATGGCGTAGTCTTCCTCCCCTGACGTTCAACAGCTTTGTTCTGTCTCTGGTTATAAACAATGAAACAAATGGACAACCTATTACTTGTCCGACCCTCAAGGTCTCATGTGGGATTCAGAGACTCAAAGCTAAAATGCAACATAGACTGAAAAGAATGCCACAAGTGGCAAAATCCTGTATCAAGAAATGTTAAGCATCATGATAATTTTTGTGTTGAGTTTCCCCAACATTTTTTAAGTTGGAATTTTGTTTGCTTTGTATCTTTCTGATTTTTCAGTGTTCTTTCTGGCTAGTCTAAATAATTTTTATCAGAGTCCCAGGTATAGGACCTAAAACATTTCTTTTTGGTGTAATAGCTAGACACATGGTAGGTATATCTGGGTTTTTTCTCTCTTTCTTTCTTTTCGTCTTTTGGTATGAGAAACGCCATCCCTTCCTTCAGAAATAGTGATGTATTTCCAGCCTTTTCTCTTAATTTGATGCAACTGTACCAAGATTTTTATTAGCTTTTTCTCTGAGTGCCAACGAATTAATGTTTCAAAGTAACAAATGACATAGCCTAAATAAACTAAATCTTATTACTGAAGGTTGCGCAGTCACCCAGTCCGTTTTTATGGCAATGCTGGTTTGAAGTACTCTGCTCCTATGAGTCCTTTCGGCGGAAACGGTGATTTCTGTCCATCGGACAGTGAAGGATGGAATCTGGAGGTGAGGGGCAGAGGCACGCCTGCACTTCAAGACTGCCCACCTAACCCACCAAAGGCTCAAGTTCGGTTTAACTGGCAATTCCACAAAGGGCTCTCTGCGCTTTTCGAGTAATCCAAATCACCTGTTCAAGGTCACGCCAAGAGTTACCGGCAGCAATCAGCAAGGTCGCGTAGAGCTGCGGAGTTCGCGGCCGGCCGGCTCTCGGCAACTCAGCGGGCCCACCTGGTGGCCCGCAATCTGCGCAATCCTGGGGAGAACGCGCCCTCTCGCGACGACTTCGAGCCGCAGCTGGGCCTGGCTCAAACACCCCCCGCCCCGGGCGGAGGCCGGCGGCGGCGGGGCCCGGCACCGGAAGGAGGAGGTGCGCGCGCGTGGGGGCGGGGCGCACCTATATAGGCCCCCCACGGCGTCGAGGGCGGGCCTGGGCTAGAGCGGCTGAGCCGGCGGTGCGCCTGGTGCCGCAGACGCCGCCTGCGAGGACAAGGGCCACGGTCGGGGCGGTGTAAGGCTCGCCAGGATGCGCCCTTAAACTGGTTGACTTGTGAGTGGTTATGGGTTAGTTTAAACAAAACTGAACATCAGCTCGAAGAGGTCGCAGCTTGAGAGTACCTCGCTCCAGTGTCCTGTAGTCCAGTGTCTAGCTTGCCTTGTAGGCCCCAGACCAATCAAAGGGAAGTTAGCATTCTTGTTCAAGAAGTTTCTCCGCACTTAGTGAAAGAGAACTCTGAAAGAATTGTCTGTGTTTGGGATTTTCTATTAAATGTGGTTGTTAGAGATTGGGGTTGGGGCTGGTGGTGAGAGATAATGTGAAGAGTTTCGAATGGCTGGCTGCCTTGTCTGGATGGGGAAGGCTTATTTTTTGCGTGTGTCATCACTTGACCATAGAAATTATTCAGAATGTGGGTCGCCCTCAGCTCTGAAGCCACGGTTTGATTAGCAGTTCTTCCTCCCTATATGGGAAATTGAATTTCTGGAACCATCCCCCATGTTGTAGATTTTTGCCTACGCAAAGGCGCCAGCGCTTGGCACGAACTGCCTTCAAGGTAGTGAATTGAAAGTACAGTATTTAAAGCATTAAGTTTTGAGCTCACTTCTATGGAAGAGAATTTTGCGGGGCGTGGGTCTAGGATTTTCAGGGAATTTAAAGCCTGTAGTCGTAATTTCGTTTTATTCCTAACTTTTTTCCCCCTTCCCTTCTTCAGCCTCATCTGTTTCAATGGTGCAACTCTCTTCATCTCCTTTTGGTTACCAGTCACCTTCAGGCCATTCAGAGGAGGGAAAGCAGAGGACGATGAAGTCAGCCAAGCCCCAAGTGAACCACAGTCAGCATGGGGAAAGCCAGCGGGCGCTGAGCCCCTTGCAGTCTGCCCTCAGCTCTGCTGCCTCTCCTTCCCAAGCATATGAGACATATATTGATAATGGACTCATATGCCTTAAACACAAAATCAGAAACATCGAGAAAAAGAAGGTAACTTTTTTCCCCACCCAGCCCTCTATATGCACCATGTTAAATTAGAGTTAAGGAACTTGCATTTTTACTTTCTATCAGGGCTCATAGGTATTCTTCCTAAAGATTTCTTTCCTGAAGATTTAAGTAACCTTGAGATTTAGCTGACTGAAAATGTACAAGTAGGCTAAATACTGACTGTATTAAACACTTTATATTTGATTTGCCAGAATAACTGAATAAAAATATTCTTCATAGTAAAATTATTGTGCATGCTACTGTTGAAATATTTGAAGAGGTAGCTACTTTAGGTCAGATTGTTTCCTTGCATGTAGTGTTAATATTTCTTTTTGTAAATGAATAGTATTCTTTTTTTTTTAGCTTGTTTTCCTTGTGACTTTCTGCAGCAGTTGATATTGCAGTATAACTGCTGCAGTCATTGGAAGCTTTTAACGATGGCAGAGCCAGAAGATGTTTTAGCACTGATTTTTGTGTTGCTAGGTGATTGTTTCAGATTGGTTGGTGAAAGCATTGTAGAGAGCCTTGTAAAGATACGCAGGTTGTAACCAGCCTGATGTGACAGTAAATGCTGATGTAAAGATCCAGATCATTCCTCATTTCCTGAGTCATGTAGCCTGTGAGATGGTACTGCACGTAGCTTTGTTGTGTCATGATTCTCTTTTGCTTGTGATAGTAGGTGAGTTACTATATAGACTGAGGAACTTTTGAATATTTCTATGCCAAGACCTAGTTAAATCTAGGAAAGTTGCTTTTGAAGGAGGAGAGTGAAGAGATTTTCAAGAGTTTGGTTGACCTTGTTCCTTTTCGTTCCCATTTCCCCATCCCCCCACCCCCACACACTCTAGGAAAGTAGTGAAGAAGGGCCAGTTACTGATAGCTTCTCTGTAGCCTTAGTTCTCACCAGTTGTCTTTTGAATGCATGCAGTTGATCATGAGCGTGATAAGGTGAGTGTGCCTGGGTCAGCACAAATCCCCTGCCACTGTGGGAAGTTAGAGTCAAAGCAGGATCTGTTCTAAGCGGGATCTTTTGATAGACTCATTAATGTCTTATCCCAGATGGAGGAACTACATATATATGTGTAATATATATATAATTATACTCTTCAGCTGAACTAGAGTACCTCTTTAATTTTGAATACCAATCTGGTCAGTACTCATACATTTGTTTCAAGCTTCTGAGATAGTGTTTTAAAGCTATAAAGCCAACATAGAAGGTGCCTAAAATTGCTTTTAGAATACCATAAAGGGTCATGTCATTATTTGGGCAATAAATGCAAGTTATTCGTCATTTATTTCCTTAAATATCAGATTTTTTAAAATGAAAACTGGCTTCAAGTTGAGGCTACTATAATTCTAGAAAAAAAAATATATTACATTTCTGTACTTCCATTAGGAAGTTTCATTGGACAAATGTTCACATAATTCAACAGGTAACCATTTAAGCAGGACTTCTCAGCCTCACAAACACTATTGCCATTTTGTGCTGGATAGTTCTTTGTTGTAGGGGGCTGTCCTTTGCACTGTAGGATGCACTGTACCTTTCTATAGTTGCCTGGCCTCTACCAGGCAAGATGCCAGTGGTACCCACTTCCTCCCTCCATCCCCTGAGTTGTGATAGCCAGGGATACCGCCAGACATTGTCATGTGTCCTTGGGGGACAAAATTGCCTCTGATTGAGCACCATTGGGTTGGGGCATATGATTTATTTGTTAAATCCCGATGTGTCATGTAATCTAGTTACAGAGGCCATTAAGAGAAAAAGGGTTTATTACCACTTAACTTTTGTAATTCCAGACTAGTGTTGATTATGTGTAATTTTTTTTTTTTCCTGACTGGAATTCATCTACAATTGCCTCTTATCTTGTACTAAAATGTTATTCTTATAGATTGGTAGTTTACTGCAAGAACTTTGTTTTCATGAGAAACAGTCTGGTATTTAGTTTGTTTCAGAATTTTGTATCAGATTGTGGTAAATACAAGTTTCTCTTTTGTAGCTCAAACTGGAAGATTACAAAGATCGCCTGAAAAATGGAGAGCATCTTAATCCAGACCAGTTGGTAAGTGGTTTATGATCCTTTGATCAAACTTATTTTCTTAGTAAAACTCTAGATGAATTTGGGGGAGACCAAAGAGCAGGAGGAGAAAGGGATGACAAAGGATGATATGGTTGGATGGCATCACCCCGATTCAATGGACATGGGTTTGAGTGGACTCTGGGAGTTGGTGATGGACAGGGAGGCCTGGTGTGTTGCAGTTCATGGGGTTGCAAAGAGTCCGACACGACTGAGCAACTGAACTGAAAGATTTGATAGGCTAAAAGGGAAGAGTGAGAGTCGACTGGGTTTTTCCAAAGACTTTTATCTTCACCTATCAGGTCTTATATCTTTGACTTTACTTTTGCACCAGTAGATAGTATATGGATGGAGGTGTGTGTTGTCAACTAAGAGTGAAGATGTAGATAATCACAAAGAGTTAACATATGGATTTAATTAAACTTTCTCTAGAGTGGACTGAAGGAGAAGAGCAGGGAGTCACCTAGCTTTCTACTGTTTACTCACATATTCTAAACCTGACATCTCTCTGCTCTAAAATGTAAAAGGGTAACTGCTACAGCTTGCCTTAGTTTTCTCTAGTTGCTTCTCCTTAATTGCTTTGTTGATATCGCTGTGCTTTTCTATTCTGTATTGCTGTGTTCCTTCTTAGGAGGCATGTTTATCTGATAGATATCGGGCCTTTAAATATTCACTGTTTATGACAGTTAAAAATACTCTTTACGTTGCCCATGGTATACCTAGTAATTGCAAGTTTTATCTAATGGGATGAAGAGAGTTTTTACAATATGGAAAATTTTAAAAATGCTTTATTGATGTTTACCTTTTTGATCTGATCACACTTCCTGGCTAAGACAGCACAAAATTAATCTAAAAGTTATTTGATCTAGCATGTGGATCTATTGTCTTTTATGTTATTTAAAGTCTTTGGTTGTGAATCGCAGGTACTGGTATGCAAGGACTTTTTCCTTGCCATGTTGGCTTTTTGTCACTGACCTAGAATTTTTGTGATGTAGTGAATTACTGTTTTGCTGAGACACAGATTTGAATTGTCGAGTTCTGAGAATGATGTGCTCAGATGTCTGGTGAAAGGACTTAGCTGGACATTCAGCGTTTCAACACAGTTTTGTTTTTAAGTAGTCATTGTGTGTTCACTAACTTTTAAAGTGACGAAACCTCTATCTAAACACCCTTGGAGAATGTGTTCTGTTACATGTTTTTGTCTTTGGGGAAACATAGGGGATGGGAATGGGGAGGCTGATGATTCTCATGGTAGCTCTCTAAGAAATGTTGAGGAGCTCCAGCCAGGTAAACTTTAATCTCACTAGTCTGAGATACACAAGCTGCTATATGTTGCTTCTATAGTATTAACTTTGATTGCTTGAGTGATACCTGACAAACTCCAAATTTATATTTTCAATAGAACAGTTCTCTGAACTCTAGATTCCTATGTCCAGTTGCCTTTTACTTTATTTTGCTCCACAAAACCTGTTCTACTTTTACCTTCACTCTATCAGTTAACAGCCTGATTTACTAGAAGGATGGTATCACTCAAAACCTTGGAGAATTTCTCATTTTTCTCCTCGCACCTTGTATCTAGCCCATCAGCAAGTGTGTGGTCAATTCCTCCTTCAAAATAAATTCAGAAACAGACCATTTCTCATAAATTCTGCCTCTGCCTTCCTGTTCCATACCACATCACTTTTCATCGGCATTACTGTAACAGCTTCCTTACCAGTTTTTCTGTTTGTGCTCTCCCTCCAAGTCTTCTTAACATAGGAGCCTCAGTGCATGTGTGCCTGTGTGTTCACTCAGTCACGTCTGACTCTTTGCGACCCCATGGCTGCTAGCCAGCCAGGCTCCTCTGTCCCTGCGGTTCTCCAGGCAAAAATACTGGAGCAGGTTGCCATTTCCTTCTCCAGAGGATCTTCCTGACCCAGGGATCAAACCCATACCTCCTGCATTGGCAGGCAGGTTTTTTACCACTGAGCCACCTGGGAAACCCCAGTAGCCTCTGTAGTTCTGTTAAAAAATGAGTCAGATGTCGGTCCTCTGCTCAGAAGTACCCCCCTGTTGGTTCCCACCATGGTGCAGAATGTCCTGTGATGTATAGTAAAGTGTTAGTCGCTCGTTCGTGTCCGACTCTGTGAGACCGCATGGACTGTAGCCCGCCAGGCTCCTCTGTCCATGGGATTCTCCAGGCAAGAATACTGGAGTGGGTAGCCATTCTCTTCTCTAGGGGATCTTCCCAACCCAGGAATTGAACCCGGGTCTCCTGTATTGCAGGCGGATTCTTTACCATCTGAGCCACCAGTGAACCCCAGAATGGCCTGTAAGGCCCTACAGACAAGTTATGCTCCCCACTTCCTTTTACATTTTTATTGCATTTCCTACACTTCTCTCTTGCTGGCTTCATCCCAGCAGCACAGGCCTTCTTCTGGCCCTCGCATATCGCAGCCGCACTGCTACTGCAGGGTTTTGCTGTGCTTGTCTCACTGCCTGGGGTGCTTTTCCCCCAGATGTCTAGATGGCTCCATTCCCAACCTCCTTCAGCTTTTCCTTTGAAGGTCATCTCAGTAAGGCCTGTCCTGACAACACTGCTTTGCTTCTTCCCTTTCTTTAATTTTCTTAATAAAAAGTTTCAACACAGTTTTGTTTTTAAGTAGTCATTGTGTGTTCACTAACTTTTAAAGTGACGAAACCTCTATCTAAACACCCTTGGAGAATGTGTTCTGTTACATGTTTTTGTCTTTGGGGAAACATAGGGGATGGGAATGGGGAGGCTGATGATTCTCATGGTAGCTCTCTAAGAAATGTTGAGGAGCTCCAGCCAGGTAAACTTTAATCTCACTAGTCTGAGATACACAAGCTGCTATATGTTGCTTCTATAGTATTAACTTTGATTGCTTGAGTGATACCTGACAAACTCCAAATTTATATTTTCAATAGAACAGTTCTCTGAACTCTAGATTCCTATGTCCAGTTGCCTTTTACTTTATTTTGCTCCACAAAACCTGTTCTACTTTTACCTTCACTCTATCAGTTAACAGCCTGATTTACTAGAAGGATGGTATCACTCAAAACCTTGGAGAATTTCTCATTTTTCTCCTCGCACCTTGTATCTAGCCCATCAGCAAGTGTGTGGTCAATTCCTCCTTCAAAATAAATTCAGAAACAGACCATTTCTCATAAATTCTGCCTCTGCCTTCCTGTTCCATACCACATCACTTTTCATCGGCATTACTGTAACAGCTTCCTTACCAGTTTTTCTGTTTGTGCTCTCCCTCCAAGTCTTCTTAACATAGGAGCCTCAGTGCATGTGTGCCTGTGTGTTCACTCAGTCACGTCTGACTCTTTGCGACCCCATGGCTGCTAGCCAGCCAGGCTCCTCTGTCCCTGCGGTTCTCCAGGCAAAAATACTGGAGCAGGTTGCCATTTCCTTCTCCAGAGGATCTTCCTGACCCAGGGATCAAACCCATACCTCCTGCATTGGCAGGCAGGTTTTTTACCACTGAGCCACCTGGGAAACCCCAGTAGCCTCTGTAGTTCTGTTAAAAAATGAGTCAGATGTCGGTCCTCTGCTCAGAAGTACCCCCCTGTTGGTTCCCACCATGGTGCAGAATGTCCTGTGATGTATAGTAAAGTGTTAGTCGCTCGTTCGTGTCCGACTCTGTGAGACCGCATGGACTGTAGCCCGCCAGGCTCCTCTGTCCATGGGATTCTCCAGGCAAGAATACTGGAGTGGGTAGCCATTCTCTTCTCTAGGGGATCTTCCCAACCCAGGAATTGAACCCGGGTCTCCTGTATTGCAGGCGGATTCTTTACCATCTGAGCCACCAGTGAACCCCAGAATGGCCTGTAAGGCCCTACAGACAAGTTATGCTCCCCACTTCCTTTTACATTTTTATTGCATTTCCTACACTTCTCTCTTGCTGGCTTCATCCCAGCAGCACAGGCCTTCTTCTGGCCCTCGCATATCGCAGCCGCACTGCTACTGCAGGGTTTTGCTGTGCTTGTCTCACTGCCTGGGGTGCTTTTCCCCCAGATGTCTAAATGGCTCCATTCCCAACCTCCTTCAGCTTTTCCTTTGAAGGTCATCTCAGTAAGGCCTGTCCTGACAACACTGCTTTGCTTCTTCCCTTTCTTTAATTTTCTTAATAAAAATGCTTCTCTGGCAAACTAAAGTTTTATCTCTTCTTCCCTTGCAGTGTCTAAGTTCTGTTAGAGTAGCGATTTTGTCTGCTTAATGCTGTTTTCCTAGTACTAGAATGGTTTATTGCATATGGTAGGTATTTAAATACTACATATAGATTTACTAAATATAAAATGATTGAATATTAGGTTTTTAGATGTGATTAAGTATATAGTTAGCGGTACTTTTGAGAAATATCATCTTGTACAAGGAATATATACTTCAGACAGAAATTTAGAAAATGCAGATAAGTCAGAAGAAAAAAAACCTATAATCTGAGCCCTCAGATACCTCTTGTCAGTAGTAAAGTACTTAATTAAAAAGCCCTTAAGTTTAGTTTTTTAAAATTGGAAGTAATTCACATAGTTTAGAAATTAGGAAATGTTAAAAAGATGTTTTTTCTTTTACCCTGTCCTTCCTCTGTTTGATACTCATCTTGTAAAATAATGATTCTGATAAATTGCTTTGTATCTGTCCAAAGTTTCTTTAAGCCTATATACAGCTTAGCTTAATATAGGTACTTTCAGGGTCTTTTTTTTTTTTGGGCAGTTTTAGATTCACAGTAAATTTGAGCAGAAAGTGGAGAGAGTTCCCTGACCCCACACATGCACAGCCTTTTCCACTATCAGCGTTCCTTACCAGAGTGGTCCATTTGTTACAACTGAACCTACCTTGACACAGCATCATCACTCAAAGTCCACAGCTTACATTAGGGTTCACTCCTTGTTATTGTACATTCTGTGGGTTTTGACAAATATAAAATGGCATGTATACTGTCATGGTAACATGCAGAATAGTTTCACTGCCTTAAAAA